GAGTTAACTGTTCGGATTTATTTCGGCTTTACATGTGACTGATGACTGAATTTGGAGAAACAAAAAGCAAACAAAAAAAAGTTAAATTAAGTCCAGTTGTTGAAGCATGCTGCAAGATACACATCAAATTAAATTCACACACTTTGTTTTTGTGTGTGCCATCTAATTAGATTAACGCTGCTTACCAGAGCATACTGCACTTTCTTGAAATAAAGGCCTGTCAACTTTCCTGTCAAATTTCCCCAATAAAACAAAATATTAAACCGAATCTGTTCTTGTTTGGCAATTAATGATACAGTGTGACAATTCAATACACTAAAAAGATGCTCGGAAACCAGCAAAGTTGTTGCCAGGCCTCGTGGCATTCTTTCTTTAATGAGTTAAAGGAAGTAATTGATTTCCCAAAGGGGCGATGTTGTTTTGGAAACACTATTTTCATTTTGTTCTAATGGACAATTACTTAACATAGGATTGTTTTTTCCATTCCTAATTATACTCCAAGGGAAAGAAAAAAATCACCATTTGCATAAAAAGTGGTGTTCATCTATGAACTCGAATTATAGGCAGAAATATTCACAGGTAAATGGTTTCTGGAGGCTGGAATCCCGTAGTAAAGTTATAATTGTCTAAAGCGTTTACTAATTTATATGTTAAGAGAGGCAGAAGCTTCCAAAGCTGACATTTGCAAACTACATAATAGCTAATGTGCCGCACGGCTCTCAGAACTGTCAAGAGCACCAGACAGATGGCAGCATTTCAACACTCCTTTCAGTTACTTGCATCATGCACTATTTCATTTTCATCCAACAATCCAGGTAGCAATGTTCCTGACTTTTCAAGGCTATCCATTTACTGTGACGGCCAAATCAGATCCTTACTGAAAAATTCATCCCCAAATGTCAGCCTGCGCACAACAAGCAATCGGCACGGCGCTCCAAAATACCACGGTGAATATTTTAGAATAACTAAAAGCAATCCAAGGTAGACATTTATATTTCATATGCATGTCCTTGTACCTCACGATATCTTTGAGAGTAATTTGTCTTTGATGTAGGCGAGGCATCAATATTTGAATTTCTTAAAAAATCACACTGGATCAAGGTCAAGCCCAAGAAACTGGATTAACAACAAGCTGTTTAGTTGGTCTAAGGTTTGTTATTTGAAACTTATAACCTAAACTTTTATATATACTATAGATAGACATCATTTATATGTACTTGTTAACATATAGCTATTAAGCTACAGAGATAGCTTTTCTGCTGCAAAAGAGAGAACAAATTGTGAAATGTTGTGGCACGGTCAGCCATCTCTTCACTTGCTTGTTTCCATCTGCTGTTGCCAGTTTCTGCCACAGAGTGGTGCAGACGCTGCTGTCTTGGAGTGAGGCAGGGCCAGCCCCGTGTCCCATAAACACACACAAATCATTTACATGCTGTACTCATCAAAGGCAACTCTTCCTCATCTCCGCAGAGATTTGCTGCTGATCTGAGCTTCCAATATTGCATCTCAGAGCGTTGCGGCTAACCTTTGCAACTGCCAAGAATGTGATTAATTTTTTAAATACAGCTGTTGACCTATTATTGAGATGGAGAAGAGCCACGCGAGACACTCATCTCCTCTCCGCTGTATAATGGAATGCATTATTGCATCAGTGTTTACAAGGCGTGCTAAAAGAGAGACAGAATGAGGGAGAAAGCATTAAATAAAGCAATTCAGCTAATGTCGCTTTGGGCCTTGTGCACACACAAAATGCCAATCAAAAGTCGCAATTCTTTGATTCATTGCAGTTTGCGCAGGCAGTTGCATCTGAGAGAAGAGCGGTGACACAATGTGGAACAATAATTACCCCGCAGTGTTAAAGTCCTCCAGTGTCTTGGTGCTTTCATAAATAAAATATGTTCAAGATAATGGATTTATGCTCAATAATTCATCATCAGAATGTTTCAAACCAAGTGATATGTGTCGCAGTATTCTGTAACACAGCGCTTAGCCAAATTAAGTTATCTTGAAACAGATTTATTGACAGGGCTACTGCTGTTTTCATTTACTCAGCAACCATTTCTTAATTACCCCTGCAAAACACATAAAACAAACAATGCCAATGGACTGATTCTAAACTACTCAGTGTCATTATTAACTACACACCGTGCATTCGAGTCAGGACCAAAAAGTACCAAACATTACAACTCGCTCAAACACTTTGAGTGGCTCTGAGTTAGAGTGAGAGGAGAGCAGTGGGACTGTGATATTTGTCATTCATGACCTTGGTGCTAGCCAGCCATACAGGCAGTTTGGTTTGATGACCCATCAGAGAATCTGTCTGGGTCCTTGCAAGAGCCAGAGGACCAGGGTGACATCCAGGTCTGCGGTCTGTTCAGCTGGATGGGGGTCAATCAGTGGGGCTGAAGATCCAAAGCCAGCTGGAGAGCCATGATTTGACTGGCCTTCATGTCCAGAGTGTCCCATTCCCAGAAGCAAGAGGAGGCCTCACTGGCACGTTGGAGAAGGCTGCTCATCCTCATAATTAATTGCATGAGTTTGTATGGTGTAGGACCAGCACAAGCATATTGCGGTTTTGCATTAGATTGCTAGAAAGACAGAAAACACAAACACACATATACATATATAAACAATGAAGTACAAATCATCTGTGTTAGTGTAAAGCAAGCCCTACCAATGTGATTATGGTTAAATCAGTTGTCTCAGCCACAAACAAATACAAATGGGACAGATACACTTGCAATCAACTGCAACAAGATACCCACTTTAAATAAAAACAACTCCATTTCATCAAAACACACATATGCAGTGCTTAAATCTAGAAAAGGCTTAAGCATCCAGCAGAGAATGAGGGAGAGAGAAAAACAATTTACATGCAAATCAAACCTTATCATCTCCATCTCTTTATGCCACTTTTGCTGACAAAATTGCATTCATATGCACAAAGGCATTCAATTACTGTAGCTGTGGCTCAACTTTTCACATACCAGCATTTTCTATTTGGAGAGGCAGGCCCATGTACATTTAATAGGTAGCCATTCTGTTCCCCGGCTCTGCGAGAGATCACTGCCAGTGTGTCAGTTACAGGAGATGGCAGCATGTATCAGTGCATGAAATAAAGCTCATGCTCCAAAGTGACAGGTCCTGGATATTGTTGGCAAATGGATGTTAAATTCACTCTGCAACCACCAACAGCAGCCCTGGCTATGAAAAATTAACTGTACTCTGGCTAAAGGGAAGGGAAATTGCTTTGCTAGATATACCACAAAATCCTGTTTGTGAGCTATCCATCTGTCAGATCTCTTTGCAAAAAAAGTCCTTCAGCTCTCTCTATTAAAGAGTCTGCTCTCATATGCTGTTCAGAGTAATCCAGTATGAGAGCGGAAACAAAGAGATGTCAAAGAGAGTTAGAGTAAATCCTAAATCTGTGCTGCAGATTACAAATCAGGAAAGAACACTGGCTCCAAGGGCCACAAAACAGACCAGGTACTTGTTATATGTGAACCACTAGAGGGCACCAATCACCACTGTAACTATTCAATAGATAAAGTAGGTTAGTTCACTTAGTGTACATTATAGTCTATAACTGTTGGCTTTGGGAAGCGAAGTGTTATACACCAAACTACATAAGAAACATTCTAAAGGATACATTTTCCACTGCACAAGAAATATTTTGTA